CGATCAACGCACTGTATGTAGAGCAGCACATGTGCAATTGGCACGACCTCATGCAGTACTATTAAAGTCTCCAGTTGATAGTAACAGATATATACAGACAAAAATCACTCGCACGCATAGCTGATAACCTTATAAAGCTTCCCAGCCTTGAATTTTAAAATTCAAGAAATTTCAAAACCTCTGAAGTCTCAGTATACATACGAAAATCAGACAAATCAACCCATTATTGGATTGCCTGCACACAGCAGTCTCAACAAACAGACGGACACATACTTATACAACCCTAACTTTTCATTCCTTGCACACACTTGCCTGTATATGCAAGCACACATCGAGCTCACCATCTACTCTGTCCTTCCTTACACACTGCTGTCTACCTACACAAGCACGCATATACCCATACAACCCAACCATTCCATTGTCTCCATACTACCGCCTGCATACATACGTAACCGTCTACCTAAACAACATTACTAACTCCATACATAGGCAGGCATTTAGCCAATCGACCTAACCTTTTCAGAAGCGCTGTAACTTCGCTAGGTTCTTGGACCCCAGACGCTCTGGTGTGTGTGATCGTCACCGAGGTGGCACCATCAGTGGAGCTCATTGACTTGTCGCTGTGTTTTCTGTTCATCGCTGAATTGGCTAAAGGTGACGGATGTATGGGGGACGTACTACCGGAGTGATCCGGTACATTCAGGCTCGCGGCGAATTTGGCTGTAGTGTAAGTATGAGTACACAATAAGTGTAAGGTAGACATACAAGGAACCTTGTGTGCATATACAACAAGAAGTATAGTATGGGTATTTCTGAAACGTGTGTATGGTTGTCTAAGCAAGAATAGTGTATGTTTAGGCGTATGGAGATACTCAGGAGGTCATACCGTTTTGATCCGGTATATCAGGCTGGCGGCGAATTTGCAAATAGTGTATATGTAGCTTATGTGTGTATGGGTGTATGAGTAAGTACATTACGAGGTACAAGCAAGGTTAGTTTGAGTATGGCTATAGAGGGGAGTATAATTTGCAGCGGGTAGAAGGTCAACGCAGGGTGCGAGTAAACGTCTAGATAGATGTAGTACGTATATGAGTATGTGAGTAAGGGTATTGTTTGTTTCTTCACTCTGTCAGGACGGATGGACACCACTCGGCTGGTCGTGTTTTCATGGCCACAACGAAGTGGCATATGGATAAGACCGGCATTATATTTCGAAGTGCACTTCATATTCTCAATTCTGTTGAGTCTCCCTATTAACTAAGCTAGCAGGATATATGTGGGATGTTGATCAAATCCGACAGATGTAAGGTCCATGATCCGGACTGTGTAGGTTAGACGGTACATAGTTACTCGATGGCCAGATAAATCCCACTGGCATAGTGCTCTGCTCCATTCTAACAGAACACCACACCCATTTCCAAAAACAATTGAGAGTTGTGTACTGAAACCGTTTACAGCTACTATGCAATGAGTTATATCTATGATAGCAATAAATTATAGTCTATGCTAGTGAACATGTCCATCCCGTACCACTTGCCATGTAAGCCAAGTTCTAAATCGCGATACAAGCTAAACTCTGCAACACGATCGACACCCACACTCTGACACTCACCCTTGTCCGCAGCGCTGGTTGGATACTTCAGTATTCCCCGGATAGGCGCTGAGTTGGTGCGCATTACCGGATCATTGCTCTGACTCCGCAGCAGCCCACCGGCACTCACCGGCCGGTTTATCTGAGTACTTGCATTGCGAGCTCTCATCCCCGGCGCAGCCCCGGTCGATGTGCTGCTTAACAGGTTACTGTCGGACGACTTCTTGCCCATCAGCGCCGGTCGGTTCACACTGAGTGCCTGAGACGCCACGGTACTGCCCAGCCCACTGCCAGGGCTGGAGGTGCCGTTGTTCGGTGATGTATTGGTCTTGGCCCCAGCCGCTTCACTGGTCGCCACTGATGTGTTCTTCCCGTCAGAGGTATCTGTATCGCTGGACTCGCCACTGGGTTTGTTGCCGATGATATTAGCACCGCCACTCATGAGTTTGTTCCCACCTGCTGGACTGTTGCCGATGACGTTACCGCCTGCGGGTTTATTGCCTATGACATTAGCACCGCCACTCATGAGTTTGTTCCCACCTGCTGGACTGTTGCCGATGATATTACCACCTGCGGG